AATTGCGACTTTATTTCACGCAATTCTGACTTTATTTCACGCAATTCTGACTTTATTTCACGCAATTCTGACTTTATAACATGCAATTGCGGCTTTATTTCACGCAATTGCGACTTTAGTTCACGAAATTCTGATTTTATATCTCGCAATTCTGACTTTTTTTCTCAGAATTGCGAGATATAAAATCAGAATTTCGTGAACTAAAGTCGCAATTGTTTGAAATAGAGTCGCAATTAGCCTATCTTTTAAAATGTTTTATTCTATGGCGGAAACAAGCTTCCATACTAGGCTATAGCCTGCCCTATTTAAGTAGCCTAAGGCCTTATTCCACATATCTTCGAAGTTCGAACCAGCAGGCCATTCTGGGTTGAGCGCGCGAGCCTGCAGAATGAGCGAACAGAGCAGAATATTCAGAAATGCGCTCTCCGCTCACATCCTCTGATCGGAAGAAAACCCGAACACCGTCTGCTGAACTTGCGCAGAAACATCAAGAAATAACCAGCTTAAAATTGTTTTTAAAACTAAACATTTAGACTATTTTAGCACAAATTATGAGCTTAATTGGCGATTTTTTATAATTCTTGACAAAAAAAATTGAAGAAAAGTTTTGGGTGGGCCTGTTGAAAAGTGGGTGGGCCTAGGCCCGTCAGGCCCACCCATAACGCCGTGCCTGCTTTAAACCCAAATGTCAAAAATTTTACTCGAATCAATGAACAGCATTAATAAAGCCCCAGTCTTACAGATCATTAACTAAAAAAAGTTGTTTTAGGATTTAGTTACCCTTTAAGGTATACATTTTATCAGATCATGCATGCCCTGGGATACAAAAACATGACCATGGCATTGCTAGCACCACGTTTTACTGTTTGAGCTGCATGAATGCTATTTGAACACTGGCGCTACAGCCATACACATTCAGACAGACATCTTTGGCCGTTGCATTTTGCGTCTCAAGGAACCACCACGAGCGTTGTGTTTCTAAGACAGTGAAGGTAAAAATAGTCCAAATTTTAAAAAGTGTGTCCGGCCTTCTGTTACATTCAGTTGCACTGCACCCTATGAAACATTCGACCAGGATCAGGTGAACCCAAAACCAGCCTAATGGGCCTCAGGTTTTTCTTGAGGCACATTAGACTACTATTTGTTCAGTCAACCCAAAACTAAACAACAACAAAAAAAAAAAAAATAATAATTCATCCCCCTATGAATCATGACTATTACACCTAACCGCAGGACCGGACAGTCACAGTAATAAGTGCACAGTAAGGTGCTGTAGACAAAACTGTTAAAAGACTCGTTTCAGCCATCACTTCAAAGGCTTGTGAAATTTTGTCGTGCTGTCTTTCACTCTGTTTCTATCAGCTGCCACACAATTACTCTGAATCATCCGACAGATTCACTTCCCTCAGACGAGCGGCGCTTTGAAGGCATTACCCTGGCTGAAACAAAACAACCCTCGGCACATCAATTACAAGCCAATGACATCCAATCTCCACGTTTTATCAAAAGCGCCTTTGAATCACATACTGTATAGAGTTTCAGGATGTCAGACTTAAAGCCAGACATCTCTTGAAGGCACAGACACTTTCAGTTTTAAATGCCAACAATAAACTATATCAGCGTGGCAGGGCACATAAACTTTCTTAGCTGATAGGCGACTTGTTTGAATACTCGGTTGAATGCGCCTACACAATGGACCACAGATTTAATTCACAGTTCAGATGCCTTTGAAGTCATTGTGCGAAAAGTGCAAAAGCAAACAAAGACTGCGGGGTTGAGATATAGCAGGAATCTCAGAACACAGAAAAGCTGTGGAACAGACATCCTCTCAGGAAGTCTATGTGGAGACTCCGATAGGGCTTCGACAGGTGTATGGCAGGCGAAGGAAGTGTGACTATGGTATAATTATGTTTTTCGTATCCTGTCTTGGACAATTTCAATCTGTCTTCCATCTCCTCTTTCTGCTGCTTCTTTTGAACTCGACGTCATATTCCACTCAATTCTATCTCTTTATCAGTCTGGATCTCCAGCAGGCCGGGACAGGTTTCCAGCATGAGCTGCGTGTGAGGGCAAGACAGGATTGTGTGGCCTGAGGTGAGTGGAGTGTCTCTGAGGAATCTGGATCCTCCAGCAGGGTGAGGCAGAGTGTTGTATCTCAGATGTGAAGGCTACCGTCTATAGATCTAGCCAAGAATAGAGCCTTGGACTGGATACTGTGCTGATTCAGGTTACACTACTCTAACAACAAGGACAAAAACTGACTGAAGTCTAAGCTAAAACTGTTTTTATGCACTTAACTGACACTAACCCAGTCAATCTGAGTTACATAAGAACCGCTACTCACATCCCAAAAGTTGCAATACAGTCCTCACTTGTTATGGTTTCTGTCACCACCAAGCTCTACCACAGAAGCACCAGTGGGTCACACCACAAAGCCACAGGCTCAAACTCACTCTCCCTCCAGGGTGACTCAGCCTGATCTCTGGCTGGGAGCCCTGCTTTCACTGAGTGATCTGTTGTTTGGAAACAACAACCAATACAACAGCGCTGCAGGCTTGGACCGCAGTTGCTCGGCCCTGTAACACCACAAAATTATGCAAACTTCAAATTTGGAAAGAAAATTTCTAAGGGACTATAAATGTAAATGTTGTGAGTCACTATAAAGTTACATACTCCTTCAAAGTGTCTTCTTTAATTCAATTCCATAGGCCAACCCAATTTAGCAAATATATTAAATTTAGTCAAGCAACCCAAATGTGTCAAGACAATGACTTTGCATATAGCTCAGCTCATGAATAAACTCTCTTATGAGGTTCAACAGAAACTCGTCCGGTTACAGGCAGCAACAACTATAAGGCTGAGGATTACAGAGAGGTGAGATTTTTTTTTGTAGTCTTTACCTTTACAGTAACCTTGTCGAATTAAAATCCAAACTAATTTACTAATTTTTCACTGGTAATACGATCAGAATAGAATACAAATAATGATTATCTGTCAATTTGACTGACTAGGTCGTAAATTTCCATCATGCAGATGAAAAATAATTAGAGCATCGCTTAATGTGACATTGGCACATCACAAGAACTTTTCTGTCAAGAGTTCGTTTAGTCTTATCTACTCTCTCAATGTGAAAAAGACAACAGACACTCCGGTATTTAATAAGCAATTAATTACTTTCTCACACTCATCATGCATCTTTCTCTTGGTTAACTTTTTGGTTAAACTTTTTTGATTGTTTGATTTATCTTTTTCCCTTACTCCCAATGGATATAATATGAACAGAGCTTGATAACCACTGACCAATATAATGTTGTTGTTGTTGATAGTCTAATGTTGATATACAATTTTTTGTGTTTTTGATCAAATAAATGATTATTGCTGAGCATAAGAGACATGTTTCAAAAACATAAATTGTATATCAACATTAGTGATATACAATTTACAATAATTAAAAAATATACCGTTTTTTTTTATTAGTGAAACATGTGATTTATTCCTTATGGCAAAGCTGAATTTTCAGCATTAGTCCAGTCTTAAGTGTCACATGATCCTTCAGAAATCATTCTAATAGGCTATGCTGATTTGATGCTCAAGAAACATTTCTTATTAATATTAGTTGAAAACAGTTGTGCCGCATAACATTTTTGTGGAAACCTCAATATATATATTTTTTAGGATTCTTTGATGAATAGAAAGTTAAAAAGAACCATTTATTTGAAATAGAAATATTTTGTAACATTATAAATGTCAATTTAATGCATCCTTGCTGAATAAAAGTATTAATCTTACTAACGGTTGTTGTGACGTCCATTTACATAATTTAATATAAAAGACAGAAAATTAGCCTAGATGGACACAACATTATTTAAATGACACAAATGATTATTTTATACAAGATTTAGGCTACTTTCCCAAGGACAAGGCTGTCAGCAGATTTGGGGGAACAGGGGAAGACAACACTGTAAATTGGCCAAGCAAGCATAGTAACACCTCAAATCTACCATCTGATTGATTGGTCTGACCTGTAGCCATATTAGTCTATCAAAAAATTCAAGTGAACTTCTAGCTGACCTTTTGATTAATCTGTATACACAATACTTAAAAAAAAACGGTTTAAAGAACTTACCATATGGATATTACATAAACAAATAACCTTTATGTATCCAAACCAAGTTCATCAATAAGAAAATGTCTAAGCATAATTTACAAAAACTCTTTGGTGACCTCTCTAAAGAGGTCCTTAATTCGCACAATGTTTGTATACATCAACAAAACAATATAACAGAACCAGTGCAAATGCCATGTTTCTCTGTACTGAAGTGCAGAGACTGAAGATCTGCTGAGTGTAGGGGCTTGTAGGCAACCCTCAAATTCTGTGAGCAGTTGGCCAGCATAGTACTCTGTGACATAACAAGATTAACCAGTCTTTGCGAAACTAAGAAAAAACAACTTCAGACCACAACGTCCATCCTATATCCACCGATGCACACACACTTATGAAGAATAAAAGAGCTGAACGTCCTTCGCCAAATATATCCGCCATCCAAAATATAAGCACGGGATTCCATACACTGCCAGACAGCAGTTACAACCAGCGCTCCCCAGATTAAGGTCGGGTTATATAACCTCATCAGAGAGTAAATGACAACCCCAGGCAAGGCAAATGTGGGTTTATGAAAACCAAGAAGAGTATGAAGTCATAATAAATCAACAGGAGTGTCGGAATTTGATAATATATTAAACAGATAAATAAACAGATACGAGCACTCATAGTATGAGATGCTGTTTATTATTTATGTAGGAAACACACAGTTGATTCCTAAACAGAAGCGGTTCTGCTGCTTTCTTTAAGCCTTACTGTGCTGTTTGAATGTGTTATAACTTCAGTTTGAGACTATCTGGGCTGGCTCGGCAAAAATCACGACAGTAAAACAGCCCCACTTCACCACAACCCGATGTTTCCCCTAAGCAAAGTCGAGGATGTTTTTAACAGCACTCACCGTGGTATGGTAATACACTTGGTGTTGACATTCTGAGTTGTGATGGCTTTCTCCAGCTCGTCCAGCTGTCCCGTCTTCTTCAGCTTCTTCACCAGACTCTTCACGGCCTTTTCGCACCATTTCTCCTCCTGTCCGTTCTGCTCTCCCTTCTTCCAGCCCAGCAACCTCTTCACGATCGGCGGAGTAAACGGTAAAATTGACATGTTGAATTGAGTTCAACGTTCCTCTATTGCGCAGTCTCTCACGCACCTCGGGAGAGAAATTCTGGATACTTTTTAATCTTCAATGTAATCCGAAGGCGGTAAATCAAAATAAACTGCTTATAGCTTGATAATAATATGGAGAAAAGTGAGAGGGACTTGAGGCGTGACTGAGACACGGTCTCAAGTTCAGCGCTCAGCTCAGCTCCGTCTGTCCGTCTCTCGAGATCATCAGGCATAGCGCGCGCCACACACACCAATAACTGCGAGGCCATTCATATCACTCCGCGCAGGAAAGTAGTCCCCTCCATCCCGTCTGGACAGGTTGGAATTGGAAGAGAAATAAAACTGATATATTTAATGAAAAAAATTATTACCTCGTCTGTTTGTAATATAGCCTACGTTTTTGTGCACCGTTTAAAAAATTAGGTTTACTCAAGTTTAAAGGCATCCGCTGTGCTGTGTGGTGCGCTCTCTGTATTGTATTCATTGCGTCTGCATTTAAAGGTGCACTCAGTGGTTTTTTCCTCATTAAAAAGTTTTACCCCTAAAGCAATGAGCAGTAGGCTACGTTTGGAAATATGTTTAAAATAACGTAGAATCACATGAGAGGAGGAGTTTAGTCATATCAGTATCGTAATAACGCGTATCTTAATAAAGTCTCTTAATATTTTTTTTTTCTGGTATAGTTCATGAGTGCGGCATCATGTTGACATCACATGGCCAAAATACTCCCATACAAACATAAAGACAATATGCCATAGACTTTGGCGCAATGTCATACATTTGAAACAGTCCTACTGAACAGTTTTATTGCTCCCTTCCTCTTCTGCTATTGTAAACGCTCATAAAACCCGCCCAATAACCACTATTAGACAGTGACACACAGGAAACAATTTATACAAGACCTTACTTATCATTCACAGTAAAAGCACAGTTTAATTCTCAAGAGAGAAAAGAGTGACATTCCCTTTTCCTTTACCTCTCCCACCCCCACTCTTTCTCTCTGTCTGTGAGTGGGTTGTCCCACCAAACTGAGAAGGCCTATACAGGGTTTAATTCATCTGATACAGGGCATTGTCTGCTTTTTTTAGTGATGGAGTGAATATTGCTGAGTATGCAGATGCCTTGCCTCAGCATGACAACAACATGCAATCACACACCCCTAACTCATATACACACTAACATTGTACACGACTCATTAGGAGCAGATAAACAAGTCTTAACAAACAGCTTATTTTGGGGGGATATAAGATTGAGGAGATTTTACTGCACTTTATTATGTAAACTGTTAGCTAATATAGAGGAGATAAAAATTTACATGATCCACTTTTTAGTTCTTCTGTGGACTTGTGATGATATTTTATCATGATTATTTATGTTGTCTTGATTTTTGTTTTTACACTAACTTTTTAACCTGAATGGTTTTCGTTTTTGTTTGTGTTTGTTTTTATGTCATCATCACTGGCCATAGTCTTGGAACACACACACACACACACACACACACACACATGAACATATGCCAGTGGGAGTTTAGGTCATAAGTGTCGAAAAGAAGCGTGTGCAACCAATGGCCAGCTGTTACATGCAAAATGCAAACACAAGGGACTGCACTAGTCAGATTTGATTTATCCTCATCAGACTGAGCCATAGTTTTTTGCCCCTCTACACAAGACATTACACAAGAAGGAAGCAATAAGTAAGAAGTGTGCAGTTTTATGCCAATTTCTCGATTTTCTCAGATGTAATGATAAAACTTCAAGGCAATTTTCATGAATGTTTTAAAAACAGCTTCAAACCGAAGAGTTTTACATTGGAGGTCATTAAACCCTGGCCACACACATTTAGTTAAATTTGTGTATGGCAACCCTTTAAAACAGTTCACTAGCCGTGCTAAAAAATACCCAGCCTGCACCTCAGCTCAGCGTGGTACTGCTTCTTCCTTTTATCTATTTTAAAGAACATCTGATGTATATTTTTTCATAGCATTTGCTTTCTTCTTGTCCTCCCGCACGGTGATGGTCAATATACTCAAAAATGTATAAACAGATTCTGTGCACAGCATGGCACACCTCAGGAATACAGAAGATAAAAAAAAACTGCACAAGTGTAGTTTCTGCATCTTTCATATAAATTCACTATGATGAACAGAGATGTGCTCTAATTGGTTGAAATGTCATTTTCAGGTTTTCAAAAATTTATATTTCCTCAGAGGAAACTTTAACATGTTTGTGTATGAGTTGACGTAGTACTTTAGGGATGCATTGTCAAAAGCTGCCTATGACAAATGTAGGCCTACATCTAAACACTGCCATTCAAAAAAAAAATTCAGCAAATGACTCATTAAATTGATTAAAAGTGACAATAAAGTCAAAAATAAATGTTGTTGTCTTGAACTTTTGTATTCGTCAAGTAATCCTGAAGAATCGACAATTTCCACAAAAATAATAAGCAGCACTTTTTTCAACATTGATAATAATAATAAAGGTTTTAAAAGTTAATAAAGCATCAAATTAGCATATTAGAATGATTTCAGAAGGATCATGAAAATGATTACAGCAAAAATTACATTTAAAAAATATTAAACATTTTTTAATTTTCACAATATTACTGTCTTTACTTGTATCAAATAACTGCAGCTTTGGTGAGCAGAGACTACTTTCAAAAATATTATAAATTCTTACTGACCCTAAACTTTTGAATGGTATATGGTAGTTTACAAAGGTCTGTATGGTATCCTCAGTTAGATAGCTAAACGTGTGTGTGTTTGTCATCTGTGTGAAAGCGTGTGGCAGGATGGAGGCTGCGAGTGTTAAAATGTGCAGCTTGACTGCAGTGGCCAGCACAAGCTCAGCACCTGTTTATTCCCTCAGGGGATTCAGCTCCCGGACAGCTGGTTTGGGAGTAGGAAGGGATGAAGTCCAGGGCCTAGGGGGCTTGTAGTTTAGGATGTGTGGGGGCAGGGGGCAGATGGGATCTAGAAGAGCGAAGTGGGGGGATTTGGGGATATATGTGTCTGTGTGTGTGTGTGTGTGTGTGTGTGTGTGTGCGTGCATGTGTTTGTCTGAAGAATTGCCTCACACAAAAGGCAAGGCAGCGTGAATGAGTAATGGCCTTATACAATCTGATGGCTGATGAGGGTATTGTGCATACTTTGACTCAAGAGACCCTGGGGAGCTACAAGGTGGTAAAGAGGGGCTGAGGGGGCTGAACTATGTCCCAGTGGAGGACATGTGTTAGAGTGATAAGATGAAGCTTATGTCTAATCAACAGTGTTTAACACAATACTGGAACCAATGATAAAGGACAGGTGGGAGAATGATTTCAGCTTCATCTGTACACTCAGCAGAACTGAAAACAGCAGTAGAGCCTCTCAGTAGTCATTCTCAGACTACCTGATGAAGTTTAGTATGCAGTATAATATTACTGTATATATGCTAATATTTCTTTAGTTTAACGCGTTTTGCTGTGTATTTACTCAGTGTTCTCACGAGATCATTTTATAAGTCTACTGCTGAAGGAGACATCCGGAAAGAGATGTTACTGAATCATTTTGGTAAATAGTTCTGAGGTGATGACTTTGCGCCAGTATGTTGTGAGTGGCAGGTACGGAGAGATAAACAAACATTTCTGCCAAGAGCTCTGAGTAGCAGTGTTTGTGTGTGGCAGGATCTGTATGTTTGCATGCATCCATCCGTGTTTAGATTTTTGTGCTTTTATTCCAATGCATGTCTGTATATGCATGTTTGTTTGAAGGGTAGGGCATGCACACATTCATGTTTATGATAGCACCCCCGCTGATCCAGCATAAACCATCATGAATTCCATGTTGGTCCAGGCTGGTTCAATTTAATGCGTCATGGCTAAATCAAGTTTTACTGTAATTTCCTTCAAAAACAAAAACAAATAAACTTACCCCAAACCTTTAAATAACAGTGTATTCATGTTTTGTTTTAATTATAAAAAGGTTTCTGTTAAGTTTAGAATGTGGGGTTTGGGTTATTTATATATATGTTGGCTTTACTTAACTTTTTTATGTAAACAGGTTCCACCGGTTCCACATAACTATGTTTCGTTAAACAAACATAATATGTTCATGTAACTTCAACATCATGGAATTTGCTCATTTTAAGCGACCCAATTAAACTCTGAGCTAATGAGTTAATTAAGTGAATAACTGAGTGATGATTGAGCATTATTGAAGACACCTGATGTTAACAAGCAGAATCTCTGAAGGAGAAAACCGGAATGTTTAAGTCACCATTATGGAGATAAGTATTTGTTTTAGTTGGGCTCTTGACCATTAACTTATTAACTTTGGATTTTGTTTGGTTGCTGTACATGAGTTATAACAGCTGGATGAACAATAAACAAAGGTCATCTGATGGTGTTGGTTGTGTATTAACATAATCATTATTTCACAATCATTTGACCTGAGTCATTGAACTTATATTAAACCGAATTTCTGAGTTAAGTTTACCTTACGAATAATAGCAGCATTGTCATTGTAGAGCATACTATTTTTAGACTTTTCAATGAAATTCAAATGATCAAATCAATAAATAAAAAAGAAACTTCCTAAAAAATATTTTGAGTTGGCACACACAGACATCAAGAATCAGCCTGTGAATCTCAACAATGGTGACAATTATAAAGCATGTTGCAGTGCATTCTGGGTGCCACCAATCAAAACTCATTCATGGCTCCCATCATGCATTGCTGCATGAATAAATAATGAGCTTATGATCTGTTTGTCATCATTGCTGAGATTCATATGCTGATTCTTGATGTCTGTGTGTGCCTACTCAAGATATTTTTTAGGAAGTTTATTTTTTATTTCTTGATTTGATCATTTGAATTTCTTTGAAAAGGCTAAAAATAGTATGCTCTACAATGACAGTAAGGTTAACTTAACTCAGAAATTGGGTTCAATATAAGTTCAGTGATTGAGGTCAAATGATTGTGAAATAATGATTATGTTAAATCACAACCAACACCATCAGATGACCTTTGTTTATTGTTTATCCGGCTGTTATAACTCATGTACAGCAACCAAACAAAATCTAAAGTTAATAAGTTAATGGTCTTAACTTAGTTAATGGTCAAGATGTTGAAGTTACATGAACATATTATGTTTGTTTAACGAAACATAGTTATGTGGAACCGGTGGAACCTGTTCACATAAAAAAAGTTAAGTAAAGCCAACATATCATTTTTTTGAGTGTAAATAAAAAAGCTGTATACTGTA